TAAAGCTGAGATCCAGCATACCGCAAAATCCTGGTTCCGCTACTAATTGGTTATGTATAATTCAATGTAAAATATTCGTTTATCTATATTTAACATTTGAAAAATTCTATGTTTTGAAATTTTCAAATTGATAAAAAAAGAAATAGGAAATAATGTTAAAGGATAATAACAATAAAAGATTGCGAAAATTCTACAACTTACTTATCTATCTTGTGTACTCAAAAGAATTCGTAGAGCTTTAACGTTCAAATTGATCGAATGAGATCTCTTCATGTAACAAAAAAAAATATCTTTCGTACTCTTAAAATATGACGTAATCATGTGTTACAGAATTTTATCTTTTTACGAACATCGTAGTTTGGATCTGATTGGTGACCATGCAAATTTTCGATTGTAGTGAACTCATACTTTGAATCTTATTTCAATATTTTCATCTCTATTGAATATGTTTAGTGAAAAAAAACAAAAGATTTAACATTTAATCTTGTGTTAAGAAATAATTCATCTAATTCTGCCATCTATTGAAGAAAACTATTAATTGATCGGAATATTATCAAATAAAATTAAAGAAATCTGTTGCTTGCTTACTATTGTGTAACACACTTCTTTTGAACGAAAGAAATAAAAATGAATAATAATGGAAATTTTAACAATGAATCTGATCCATTGATTATGTCTAATCAGTATCCCTCATTAATGGAACAATCATATATGAATCAAACAACTCAATATTATCAATCACAAGATCTAACATCTAATCCTCTTGATTTTCATAATTCACAATCATTAGTAAATTTAATTGAATTTCATATTCTTTCTATTTTGTATAACATTTTTTTCTTAGATGCCATCATCTAAATCTATAAAACGTAAGCAAGAATTTTTAATTTGTGATATATGTGGAATTGAAGTTAATTCACAACAAATGATGGATAGTCATATTCGTGGACAAAAACATATGAAAAAAATGAAAATTAAAACAGTATGATTCTTCTCTTTAAATACATAGTATAATTTCCGTATATATCTATAGAACGAATTAGCTAATCATACATCTGACAATATTGATGTCAATCAAAATCCTATAGTATTAACAAATGCTGAAAGCATACCAAATCAATCTTCTACTATTGTTAAATCATTAAATTCACCTAATAAACCAAGTGCTTTACAATTAATGAATGAATTAGCTATATTTAATAAGGTCTATACAAATGAAAAACAAAATCATAAAAACTTATAATTTTTTGTTTTTTTAAAGGTAACTACTAAATATGATTTAATCAAAGAAACTGGTCCACAACATTGTAAACAATTTGAAGTACGATTAACTATTGGTGATGAAATTTATACAGGTATTGGAACAAGTATTAAACGAGCACAACAAATTGGTTAGTATTATAAATGAATCAATATTATTATTATTATTATTATTTATTATCTAGCTGCTGAACAAGCTTTAACAACTACAACATTACGAAAACCTGAACAAAAAAAACGTAAATTAAATTCAACACAAATGGAATCTACAACAGAAAGTAAGTTTATCGTTTGATTTTAATTCATATATGACAGATTTTTCATGTACGATCTTGCTGAAAATTTCATCATAGATAAAGTTTTTAACATCGACTCTATTGTGAAACTCTTGATTTGGTTAGAGAATTATTTGTTGATTACCATTCGATTAATTAACTAGTTAAGTTTAATTAGATGTGAATAGAGGATTATTAACTATATGAAAATGAGGTCATTGATTTAATTAAAAAATCTTTAATTAATCAAAAAACAAAACTTATTAACCCTTTCCGGTCCGCTACCAGAAGACTAGTAACAAAAATATCTTTTATAGCAAATTTGTAGTTCTCTTATCGTGGAGATATCAAATGTGTAGTCGTTGGAACAAAAACGTTTTTCGTTACCAAATGATTTGTTGTTGCCGTTTGGCAACATCCGGCCGTAAGGGGACAAAAATTTTGAAAAAGTCAATTTCTTTTTTTTGTGTATCAGAATTCGATATTTTGTGGCTTTTTTTGGATCCATACCTTCATATCATAGCACAATTTGTCTTTCTGCCCGTCTTTTGTAAGCCAAAGCTGAAATATCTCCAGAATATTGTAAAACTTTGCGAAAAGATGCAAAATTAACCAGTTTTTTTTTCCAAGGAACTTCTAAAATTCTAGAAAGATTTAGAGGATTCTGTGTCGGAATACTCTAGAATGCTCTGAAACTTTTAGAACTTCTCTAGAAGAAACTGGCTAGTTTGGCATCATTTCACAAAGTTTTAGAATATTCTGGAGATATTTCAGTTTTGACCTGCAAAAAATGGGCAGAAAGACAAATTGTGCTATGATATGAAGGTATGGATCTAAAAAAAGCCACAAAATATCGAATTCTGATACACAAAAAAAATTGACTTTTTCAGGATCTTTGTCCCCTTACGGCCGAATGTTGCCAAACGGCAACATCCTCATTTTTTATTGTTCGGATTTATTCTATAATTCGACTTAGTGATACAGTAGTTTACAGATTCCTGAAGGAAAAGTAATTATTTCGATTCAGATGCTCTTTTGGGGCATCGTGAATTGAGTTCTTCATCTCCTCACTGAAAGCTTGTATTTTTCGTATGAATGCATGAATTTACGCAGAAATGTATTGGCGTAATTATCAATGTGTTAAAAAAATTATACGTCATTAACTTAAGTCAATCTGGCACAAACATTGACTCTATGTTGCCAAACAGCAATATCCGGCCGGAAAGGGTTAAAATGAAGCAATAATTCACAAAGTATTGAAGTTATTATTTATATTAGATCTATTCTATTTTATATTTGAATTTCATTAAAATATTTGAAACTATTCGTAACATCATACAAAGAAAATAGATTACTTTTATTTAAATCATATAAAAAATATTCTTTTGACTTTATTGAGATTAACAAAAAAAAAAAATATTTCTATCATTTTTAATTAGTTCAAAATACATCAGAATCAAATCAATGGTAAGTATATAATTATATTGAATAAGAGAGAGAAAACTTGATTATAGTGATAATTAAACTATCAATATAATTCAAATAAGAAAATTTTCTACAATCAAGTTTTTTCTTAATAATTAATTGTAAAGAAATTTTTTTGTATTTTTTATTTTAGTACATTCAAATAATATTCAACAACAAATTCAATTTAATTCAAATCAACAATCATTAAATTTAATTAATGAAAATAATTTTGAAATACTCTTAAATAGAAAACATATTGACATAAGTGAATGTGATAGTACATTAATAATAATAAATAATTTTGTTGAAAATATTGAACGAGCTATGAAAGATGTATCTGATAAAATGATGGAAGAATGTCAATTAAAAAATATACGTGTTGTACCACAATTATTATATAATATTCCATTAAATAGTATTGAACAAACTAATACAGATTCATCAGAATCATTTCGGTATAGACAACAAGAAAAAATTTTTTTTTTTCTTATTATTATTATTTTCTATTTTAAATAGTATGCTTAAAGGTGCAATGAAAGTTTCAATTTTAGCAATGCATCTTTCTCTTAAAACTGATTATGAATATACATTAGTACTTATTTGTGCTAATAAACCAACTATAACATTACTTAATGATATTTGTCAAGAATTAACTATTACATTGAATAAACAAAATAATTCATCAAATCAAATAGATTCTACTATACAACAATCAATACCAATTACTTATCAAATAGAAACACATGTTATTGATGCTTGTTTAACTATTAAATCTAGTCTTTTACCTCAACATACTATTCGAATAATGTTAACATCACCAGTATTTTGTAGTGATAATTTTCTTAATTTTGATGAAAAAGTAACAGAATTAAATTCTGATCCAACAGATATGCTCGACAAAAATAAATGTTTAGAAGCAGCAGCTGAAATACGTACGTATATCTCATACAATGGGCTATTTAATTTCAGTCTGAATTTATCAAATAAAAATAATACTTGATTTCAAACTGAAACGTGAGTCTAGGAGTGAGGGGGGGGGCTGAGGGTGTGGGTGTTGGTCTGGGACCCACACCCATGGTGCGGGTGTGGGCGCGCGAGTGAGGGTGAGGCTGTGCTTGTGGTTTTGTGTACTATAGGCTTTAGTCCCCTGCACAGGGGACTAAGCGGGGACTAAGCTTTTTGTGGGGAGGACTTTGCAGGACTAGGGGGGACTAAGGGTTTTTAGTGAGACTACGTAGTATCAAACGAGAAAAGTTTGATTCGGAAGAAATTGGTGTGGTTTTTTTGATTTTAGAATTCAGTTTGAAATAAAAAAGCCCATAGACTCGTATATCTATATCTAAATGATTTCATACTTGAACATATGGTAACGAGATCCGGACAATTGCGCGCGGACATTTGCTCGCTGTAGGATCCTATGTAACTGTTATAGTGAGCAAGTGTCCGCGCACAACTGTCCTAAACCCATCGCAACGTCTCGAGCAACTATGTTGTAGATGTTCTTATTTGAACGATTCTTTTGCTAGAATATTAGCAGATGATTTAATTGGTCCACTTAGAAAAAAATAGTTGCTAATTAAAATTTTTTGAAAAAAAAAAAATTTCGAATGATCATATTTAAAAGTAATTTTTGAATCTTCTATGAATTCATAGAAATAGTATCGATCGTAGATTCGAAGAATGATCATTCACAAAAAAAAGGTATTACGAATATATCTCTTATCTTTAAGTCTTGATAGTGTCGTTATACGAACAATGATATGTTTGAGATATAGAATAATTTTAGACTTTTGACGAGCAGAAATCAACTCTTTTTGTGTTTAATACTTTTATTTTCTTCGAATTTCAATATTTATGCAAAGATGTAACTTATAGAAGTATGATGCACCTCTGCTTCTGGACTTTGTTCAAAAAATACTCCTCTATAAATGGTTAAAATAATAGATCGATTCACAAGTATCGATAATGGAAAAAAAATTCGCCGGTATCTCTTTTGAAAATGATATCTACTTTTTCATAAGAATAATAAAAGGATCTAAGAAAATCTTGTAAATTATTTAGTTATGAAAATTATGATTAGATTAAGGATAGTTTTATTAATGAAAAAAAAAATTCGATTTTATGAATTTCTTTTTATATTTAGGTCATTCCAATTGGTTTACACAATGTATGTTCAATGTTCCATATAATTTAGTTGTTCTTCGTCTTTTACGTCATTTACAATATATTCAAACTCCATTATGTTATCTTAATCTTTGGTGTCTTGTATTACTTGTTCATAAATGTCATACTCAATCAATAAATTCAATTACAAAACTTTTTCGTGCTGTATTTACTTGTTTAAGTAGTGGTATTCTATTACCAAATAAACTTGGTCCAGGTATTATTGATCCATGTGAAAAAGATCTTGTTGATGCTGCTAGTTATGTAACTAATGAACAACGTTCAAAAATAACAAGTTATGCTCAAAATATTATTCGTTTTATTGCTTTTGAACAATTTGATAAAATATTTCCTCTTGATTAGGCATTAAAACGATAGAAGATTTGATTTATTGTTGTAATATTCTTCATATGAAATTTCTTTTTTTTTTTTCAGATTGAAATGAAACGTTCATATTCATATTTAAATTTATCTTCAACAAAACGTACAAAAATAATAACATCAGATTCATTAAAATTTTTTATTGAAAAAACAAATAATTCTTTTATTAATTATTTACATATGCCACCAATTATATTTAAACATCAATTATATTCATTTATATCAAATAATCGTACATTAATTGATTGTGAATTACAAGATATGTTTAATAATAATAAAATACGTTTATTTCATTCTGATTTTGGTATTATGTTAATGTTTACAAATGATTATCATTTATTAATTGAACGACAACTTAATGATAATAATTTATCATCATTATCAATAGAAAAAAATCGTTTAAAACAACGTTTTATTCAAGATTTATTACCAAATAATATATGTTTATCAATTGATAAATATACTTTAGAAAATAAATTTCAATTAAATTTAAATGATATTCATCTACTTATACAATTAGGTTTACTTTTACCAAAACAATGTGATCAATATTGGTTTTCAATACCAAATTTAGCACCATTTATAACATGTTTAGAAAAATCTCGACGTACACTTTTACAAATGTTATCAAGACGAACATATAAAGAAATACCAATGAATGAATTTCAATTGAGAGATATGAAAAAAAAATGTTTATTAGGATTTGTTTATCATATTCATGATCTCATCGGAGCAAATTTAGCACATATTATTGATACACCTACAGGTTCTATTGTTAAAATAGGACCAGAAAAAGTTTAGATAAAAAATGTATATAAGTTTTTTTTTTTTTATTATGTTATTTAAATCCGCATTTACTAAATAAAATATAATTTAAACATTTACAACGATTATTTTGTTAAGATCTTCTATATTGAATGATACGAAAAACGTTGTTTTTTTATTCTTTTAAACTTAATAAACAAAATATAACATTAGGCAATATTATACATCATAACACGTACTGTTTATCATATATATTGATTATTTCAAGGTCGACCTTTCATGTCAAATCGATTAGTACAATCATAAGCTAATGTTTTTTCGGTTCTCCATCGCCTTGAAGCAAACAAGATAACAAAATAATAGCTACGTTTCATTTTTCTTGCTTCAATCAATTTATAATATATTTTTATATTGAAAACATTTTTATACTGAATCATCTCTTAGTTTATAGAATATAAATGAGTTCAATATTTTAAACATATAGCACTGAACTGAACAGCTTTCATCTTTCAATTCTTCATCGCTTATTGAATGTAGCAAAGAAAAAAACATAGTTTCTGACTTTGTGAAGGTTTAAATTATATTAACTACAATTGTAGCCAAAAAAGAGATCGCATGATCACAATGAAACAATACAGAAAATAAAAGTCTAGTCTATGATAATTCAAATTACAAGAAGGATTTAGAGAGCAAAAAAAAAAGAAAAAATATTAGATAAACATTATAAAATACAATAATATTTCTTTCATATAACAACTCATGTAGTTTTTGGAGGTTTCAGTTTTGATTGACTATTTTTATGTTTTAGTCGAAAACTGATCAGCTTTATGTTTTATATGATGATATACCACTGACTCCTTAAGCTTGTCCACCTAGAAATAGATGAATGCAATTTAATTATAATATTTGTAAAATGATAATATTCATCAGAAGAAATACTTACCAAGGAATTGGCGAAATTCTCCTTTATCAAGTGTACCATCAAGATTGGTATCAGCAGCAAGGAAAGCAGCATCAGCTCCACCAGCAAGACCAGACGATCCCCATGATGCACCATAACCAGCACCAAGACCCCCAGCAACGAGACCACCTTCCCAACCACTAGCACCACCTGCTGCAATGCCTGATGATTCCCATGATGCTGAACTGAGTCCACCACCAAGAGCAAGACCTCCATCAACTAATTCAGCACCTCCAGCAATAAGACCAGCCCCACCAGCAGCAAGAGTAGCACCTTCAGCAACAATACCAGCACCAGTTTCCAAACCTAATGAAACATCAGATGATTCTTGACCGTATGCGGCAAGACCGTAACCAACATAACCAGGCGCTGACTACAAATAGAAAAAGATAGTTATTTAAGAATAAAAAAAATGAAAATACTATGATGAACGTACGATATCTTCAACAACACCAGCTGCACGTGCTTGTGCAACAAGTGAAGTACCATCAAGAAGACGAGCACCATATGTTTGAACATAAACAGCTGGGTTAGCTGCAACAACACCAAGACGTTGGAATTGACGAACAACTCGAACTGGAGCTGATTCATATTGAATGATAACATTACGTGGAGCTGGATATGGTGGTGGAGGAGGAGCACGTTGAAGAAGGGTACGTCGTTTAGCTTGCGGTCCATATGGAATCCAACGTTCGATGATGATGTCACCTATAAATGAATGATCGAGATGATGAAACGATTTAGAAGAAAAGAGACTACTAACGTGGTCGTGGTGGAGGAGCTGGAAGGCGTTCGATGATAACTGATCGTGGTGGAACTGGTATAGGAGGTAAACGACGAATGACTGTTTGAGATGCAATAACTGGTGGTGGCAGTGGTGGTCGTTCACGAAGAATAAGTGGAGGTGGTGGAGGAAGAGGTAAAGCTCGGTAACGAAGGCGAAGAGGTGGTGGTGGGGGTGGTTGAGGTGGTCGCACTTCTTTGATGATGAGTGGCTGAAAGAAAAAACAGAAGAAAATTAGATATCATGATATCGATGATGATGAATGATAGAAATGATTTACGCCTGGAGGTGGAACAGGTGGTGGTTGAAGGAATTGAACTCGAATGTTTTGTGTGTATGTTTGAACGCCAGTTGGATTTGGACGACGGATGATTTGTGGGTTGGGATCTTGATAGAGACCTTGGGCATCAGCAGCATATTGAACTTGAGTAGCGGCTACTGCTGATGAATCAAGGGCTGCTCCACCAACAACAAGAGCACCCTCACCAGCAAGACCAGCGCCGCTTGAGACTGATTCATAACTAGCAGCACCTCCGACAAGGCCACCATCAACGAGATGTGATGCACTATAACCACCACTTAGCTCAGCAGCTGATTCAAAGCCTGAAGCATCAGTAACTAAACCAACGCCAGCATTGAAACTAGCATCAGCACCGAAAGCAGCACCAGCATTAGCACCTAATGAGGCTGATTCCAATGATGAACTAGCACCGTAACTAGCATTACCACCAACACCAACACTAGCACCAAGATTTTGACCTGCAAAGTGTAATAATTTTCATTAATAAATAAACTCATACTCATTCGACAGATATTCACTGACCGAGAAAGTTACGGAATTCATCGAGATCAATGCGTCCATCTTTGTTGAGATCGGCTTGTCTAAAGACAGCATCGACAGCCATAATTGTTTGTGTACTGTTAATGTAAATAGAGCACTCACTGGTAATAGTGATAAGTGAAGAAAAGCTACCAGTGGATCAATATTTATATAGAACAAGTCGATCATGCATGGAGAGAGATGAAACAGAGGAATGAAGATACAAAAAACTGTATATTTTCGCAAGTACGCATTCCAACCTTGCTCATGAAGGATTCTTTTTGTTCATGAGACAATGATTAGTCCTCGAGAAAAAAAAACGATGTGCAAAGAGAGTGTTACTGTGGAAAAAAAATACAATAATTCTTACTCAAAAATAATATTGCATTCAGAGTAGAGAAAAGGTTGAAGAAAAATGTAAAATTATAAGTGTTATGTTGCGAATTAAATCGAATAACAAGAAAAATTTTAGTTTAACGTGACACAATGATTATAGAATAATTGAAAGTTCATAAAAGTAAAAATATTTTTCTGTAGAATGATTAGTTATTGAACATGAATCATAATTCATGGAAAAAATCTTTAAAATTTATGAAAACGAAAATCAACGCAACATCGTTTTTCATCTGAAATAGTAATTGGTTTGAATAAAGAAACTACTGATATTCTGTTACACACTTAAACATTTTTCTTGCAGTATTTTGTTAAAATAACCTATTATATTCGTTTTGAAAGTCTGTAATAATATATTTGTAATTAAGATTACATACTCATATTTGGTTAGGAATGTACAGTCATGGTGTAAATACTGAAATAGTGGCACAAAAGGTCCTATTGGACATTGATTAATAGAGAAGGCTTGATTACAGTGATTTCGAACAATGAATCTAATTTAACTAAAACAAAATTTCTAAAATAAACTTATTTTTCCTTCAAGATGAATTCTTACAGTATTTGGTCTTAATTCCATTTTGTTATGTTAGTATATTTAATATAATGGTCAGCAATATTCACTTTGACAACGAACATTTTTACTCGCAAATCTACTACAAATACAATTCAACTCGAATAAACAAAAAAAATTCATCAGATTAATGAAAATACATTTGAAATTTTGTGAAATAAAAAACATACCGAAATAAGTGAATATGTTAGTACCACTAGAATAGAATCAAATAGTTTTGTTGAAGATATTGAACGAGCTATGCAATCATTTTTGTGATCAAATGATCGAGCTATGTTAACGAAAAAATATACATGTTCTACCACAATAACTAGATAGCACTTCATTATTAAATAATGGTCAAGAAACGAATATCCATTTCAAATTCAAAGGTGGTTGAGTATTTTGGAATAATTGTTGATAAGAACGAGATAGAGACTTACAGTTTTCACCGTTTAAAAGAGGAAATGAAACTGTATCGAATGTTGAACATCATATTTTTCTAAGAATTTTCCTCAGAGCCATTTATCAAGTTTTTAAAAAATTAAGGCTTTTTAGAAGGCTGAGAAAGTGGATTTTTCATCAAAAAATCAGAAAAAGAGTCAAATTTTTGTAAAAAAATATGCCGAAAACACAAAGTAAAATGTTAATAACTCGTGATTGGCTTAAATTTTTAACACTGAACTTGTATAGATTATTAATCTTTAGTCAGGGGTTCAAGCGCACTAACGAAAATCAAAATACCAAAACTTTTACATTGCACAATGTTTTGCATTTAAGAAACTTGACGAGTGACTCTAAGAGACCATGCCAGAAAAGTCTGATGTTCCAGATTCGATGCAGTTTTATTTTCTCTTTTAGACGGTGAAAACTGCAGGTCTCTATCTCGTTTCTAACAAAAATATTTCCAAAAATACTCACACACCTTTTTATTTGAAATGGATACTAATGAAAATTCATCAGAATCATTCCAGTATAGAAAAAAAATTATTTGTGAATTCTTTTTATTATTTTTGATTTTTAATAGAGTGCTAAAAGATGTAATGAAAGTTTCAATTTTAGCAATGCATCTTTCTCTTAAAATTGATCATAAATATACATTAGTACTTATTTGTGCTAATAAATCAAATGTAATATTACTTAATGATATTTGTCAAGAATTAACTATTACATTGAATAAACAAATTAATTCATCAAATCAAATAGAAGCACATGTCATTGATGCCTGTTTAACTGTTAAATCTAGTCTTTTACCTCAACATACTATTCGAATAATGTTGACATCATCAGTATTTTACAGTGAAAATTTTCTTAAACTTGATGCAAGTTAGAAACGAAAAAAATTTACATAGAAACACAAAGACTTCGAAGTACCTGAAGTTCTATTAATTTTAGTGGAAATTTAAATTGTTCATAGTTGATGAAATAAAAAAACAAATTGAATCGAATCGTGTTCTTCATTTTCGAGAATCATTAAGTACGGATGGTATTAATTGCTAATTACAATCAAGTTCTTCTATCGGTCTTACATTTATTTCGATTTTTCAAGGTGATAATCAAGTCGAAGGTATATTGAAAATTATAGACTTATAAAAAACCCAAATTCTCTAGAAAATGATATGCTTGTGCATACAATTAATGACTGCTTGAAAGATATTAAAATCCTGTCTTTTTTTTTTAAATAGTTCACATTGTATTGACAATGTTGAACTCTATTTTATAAAATTGATTTTAGAATCCTGAGAGAAATAAGAAGGCATAGTGTTTAAGATTCAATGAATATATGAAATTAAAAATTTGTGCTAGGTAGTTATTGATATGTTAATTTTCGCTTACTAGATCATAATCGTATAAACTTGATAAAACTAGTTTTTATGAAAGAAGAGAGTAAGTTTCATTTGTCTGAGTTCTTGTTTCAATCAGCTTTGATGATTTACAAATTAGTTTGTAACGCGTCAACTTATGATTACTCAATTATATTTTTATCATTGTAATAAAACGTTAATCTATTACAAGTGACAATGTAAAATACAAGATAGAAATTACTTCCTCGAAATCTATTTAGTCAATAACTTGTTTATCGAATATGAAATTATTTTCAATCAATAATAAATTAACAATTCATTCATTGAACATAAAACTTTGTAAAGCATATAACCTGAAGGTAGTAAACTTCTTCATTTTTATACTAAATACATACAACTGTTCTCGTAACTTAACCTAATCGACTAGTTATGTACAAAGATACTTCGAAAATGTTCTGATAAGAATTGCAAATGCATATGGAAAATATTATTTGATTAGTCTAGAAAAAATTCAAAATTACAATAAAGTTCGAGACCTTCTAAGTCTAAAGTTTTATACATAATCCTAAATATTTTCAAGCCACTCTTACATTCACATCCAGATCAAGAAAATTTTCAATAAGAAACATTCACAATGCTAACATTATTCAAATAGTATGTTGAGATAAAAGATTAAATTTAACATTTAAACAAGCATCATCTACATGTGTTTGTACTTGATAAGTATTTGATATTGATTGTTATTCAGTAGAATCTTCTTAATTAGAAAAATTGATTTCTTCATTCAATGTATTAGTTAATTCTTGACAAATATTATTATGTAATATTATATTTGGTTCGTTGGAAGTCATCCGTAAAAGGGGTCTAGATAAAAATTGCATTTTTTGATCTCTTGCCTTCTATCTATCCAATGTCATCCATTCGCTTCTGCACAAATCAGTATTAAAAAAATAAAAAACTTTCAGAAAAATACTGCTTACCCAAATACATTGCTTCTTTTTAATTAAACAACAATTAATTCAATTAGTATATTAATAAAAGAAAATGAAAATACACATTTCATAAACAATAAACAAAAATATGATCTACAGCAAATTATATGTATAGATATTATACCTATTGACCGTTACTATCATCTCTATTCACATGTTTTGAAATATTTCGTTATGGTGTCTAATTTTCGTAATTTCAAATATTAGGACGTTTTTTGATCGATGACTCTTTAGCAGAACTAAGTACTAATATATATTCATGATTGATTCTACCAGAAAGACGATCAAACTTTCCTGGTATATTTAAGAATTTTATTCAAACTAAAAATAATAATAAAAATTAAGAAATAAATTTTGTTTTCTATACAGAAATGATTCTGGTCAATCTGGATTAGATTTTTGAATATTATTTAATAAAATATTATCTAGTCATGATGGTATAACACGTATATTTTTTTAGTTAATATGGTTCCATCATTTGATCACAAAACAAGTTACATAATTCGTTCAATATCTTTAAAAAAATTATTAGATACTATTATAATACTATCATATTCACTTATTTGAATATGTATCTTATTTATGAGAACTTCGCATGTATTTTCATCAATTCTACTTACTTATTGTTCATTTATGTTAAATTGTATTTTTAATTGAATTGCAAGTAAATATGTTTTGTCATCAAGATGATTATTGTTGACAATTATTTGAATGTATATTAAAACAAAACAAAAAAAAAATGAAATTAATATAAAATATTTTCACAATCAATTCTGAAAAAATAAGTTGATTATAGAAATGTTTACTATTTGAATTATGTTCATAGTTCAATATCACTATAATCAAGTTTCATTTCATTCTATATCGTTATATACTTATCATTGATTTGATAGTAATGTGTTTTGACGTGATCAAAAATCGTAGAAATGAGCTTTTTATTTTAATACAATAAGAAGAATAATTTTATATGATTTGAATGAAAATCATCGATTCAAAAGCTTTGAATTCGCTTCGTAAATCGATGATAAATTTATATATTGTTTTATTGATCGAAATATGCAAGTTTTAAGAGAAAGATTAAAGTTATCATCTAAAAAATAGAAGATATGACACAATGTATAAATTTAGTACGATCTTAAAGTCATTTTGTTCATTGTTAATGAATATTTTCATCTTACATTTTTTTGAGCAAAATTAAAAAAAATTTTCAATAAAAGAATAGCATGATTGATGAGTTGTGGGATTCGTGTATTGTATAAAATATCAATATTCTAATTTGATGATACGTTGACCTTGTTTTTACATGCATGAATAAGCATTACTTATATTTTTATTGACTGAAACCTTTCCATATGCCAACAATCATGTTTTTCACATTAAGTAATGAATTGAATTCATATTTACTTAAGTTCTGTCGAATATGACTTGAAAAATTTTCTATTGATCATATATCATTTATTTGGCTTCGAAATGAACATTCAGAGAAGGGAAGGGGTATAATAAAATTGTCAGAAAAGTAAATGCAAATAATGACTGACAGGTTAGAGGACAAATTTCAAACGGCAAGTTTCATCAAATAAAACTGAATATAGAAAACTTTAAAAATATGCATAGTTTTATAAAATCATAATAAGATGAATCTTATTATTTGATTCAAATGATACATTCTATAAAAAAAACTCTCGCAAGCAAAAACATGAAAGTCGTATTAAAAAAAAATGAATTTTATTTTAAAAAAATGTAAGATGAAAATATTTACTCAAAAAATTACTAAAATGATCAAAATATTGTTCTGCATTTATGCCTTGTGAAGTATCCTTTTTTTCAGACAAGAACTTTAATCATTTTCCACAAAATTATATATTTCGATCAATTAACTAAATATAAGTTTGTAGTAGATAACATCAATTCGCTTTTTTAGAAAGGTCGAAACTTTTCAATCAACCTATATAATAACCTTACTCTAAATAATAAAGCAATCGGTTTGTGCAGTATTGCTTCATCTGAATAAGACCTTTTTCTGATCAATTGAAGATTTTCAATCAAATACATAACATCATGGTCATATCGATCATTAGATATAAAAAAAAATGATATTTCTAATAATAGGAATTAGCAAAAGAACTAATTCAAGATATGAATGGCAATCTATATAAAAAATATTACGATAGCTTCTCTCAAAGCTTCTTTGATGAGATTAAGACAAGTCAAATATAAGGATGTGTAGTTTTAGTTCACTGACAACTTATGTCATCAAATCACTGTAATTAGCGCACACTGTCTATACAGACTCTAATGTGTCATAAAACATTGTCATACTCTGCTACAAAAAGGACATATTTTGATAAAGTTGATTTCTCTATGTTACAGTGAACGAAAACTTCGATGAAATCAGTGTTTCAATGCAGATTATGCTAGTATTTGTACCGACTCGGTATACCCAAGGTCAAACATGAGCAAGCATTTTTCATTACAAGTATATTATTACCGATTTTCGATCAATTGAAACGGATCAATGTATTCTCGAGTACTGAGTAATATGTTCAAATATAACAGAGACGTCTGTGAATTCTTTGTTCAAGTCAGTTATTATAAAAAAACGATTTTGCTTTGCTTTTCGTGTGTAATAAATTGCAGAGTTACTCTAACAGAGAATCATGGTTCATTTTAAATAGCTTATCTTTCTGTATAAAAATAGTTTTATTAATATGCACTTTCACATATTCTATAAACGTTGTATCAAGTTAACTTGAATTTGTCCTTGTTATGCAATTCAATTCGATAAACAGCAATTAAATGAATATGTTTCTCCTCTCTCTTTTTTTCTTATTGATTCAATATTATTTTCGAATAAAAATTATTCTGCTCTCTTTTTCTCCACAGTATCTCTCTCTTATTACGTATCGCATCTTTTTTTTTTGCAGACTAATCATTGTTTCATGTACAAAAAAGGCCTTCGCAAGCAAGGTTGTAATGCGTCTGAATAAAAATATACAGTTGTTTATCTCTTCTCCCTTTCTCTTCGCCAGTCTTTCATCTCTATCCATGCATGATCGACTGCGCCTATATAAACATTGATCCGTTGATAGTTTTTTTTCACCTCTCACTTTTACCAGTAAGTACTTTGTTCACATAAACACTACACAGATAAACATGTCTGCTGCCAATGCTGTCTTCAACCAAGTCGATGCTAACAAAGATGGACGTGTTGACCTTGGTGAATTCCGTAACTTCGTTGGTAAGTTGATCTATTTCCAACCTGTATGAGTGTATTTATTATTGATAATTATCAAATTCTACAGGTCAAAATCTCGGTGCTGGTGCTGGTGCTGGCTACGGTGCTAGTTCATCATGGGAATCAGCATCATTAGGTGGTGGTGCTGGCTGGGGCGCTGGTGCTGGCTGGGGGGCTGGTGCTGGCTGGGGCGCTGGCGCTGGTTTAGGTGCTGATGCTTCAAGCTTTGAATCAGCAGCATTTGAATCGTCTGCATCAGGTGCTGCTCTTGGTGGTGGTTATGATGCTTCATACGTTGTTGGTGGTGGCCTTGCTGGTGGTCTTGCCGGTGGTGCTGCTAGTTATGAGTCGGTTGCAAGCGGTGCTGGATTTGCTGGTGAGGGTGCTCTCGTTGCTGGTGGAGCAGCCTTTGATTCATCAGCACTAGCAGCCACTCAAGTTCAATATGCAGCTGATGCTCAAGGTCTCTATCAAGATCCCAACCCACAAATCATTCGCCGTCCAAATCCAACTGGTGTTCAAACATATACACAAAACATTCGAGTTCAATTTCTTCAACCACCACCTGTTCCACCCCCAGGTGTAAGTCATTTCTTTCATTCATCATCATCTATATCATAATATCTGTTACTCTTCTTTCTTTCAGCCACTCATCATCAAAGAAGTGCGACCACCTCAACCACCTCTTCCACCACCACTTCGTCTTCGTCAAGTAGCTCCACCTCTTCCTCCACCACCTCCACTTGTTCTCCGTGAACGACCACCACTACCACCACCAGTTATTGCATCTCAAACAGTCATTCGTCGTTTACCTGGTTTACCACTTCCACCACGATCAGTCATCATTGAACGTCTTCCACCTCCTCCACCACGACCACGTTAGTAGTCTCTTTTCTTCTAATGTTTTTGTTATCTCGATCATTCATTTACAGGTGACATCATCATCGAACGTTGGGTTCCATATGGACCTCAAGCTAAACGACGTACCCTTCTTCAACGTGCTGCTCCTCCACCACCATATCCAGCTCCACGCAATGTTATCATTCAATATGAACCAGCTCAAGTCCGCATTGTTCGTCAATTCCAACGTCTTGGTGTTGTTGCAGCTAGTCCAGCTGCTTATGTTCAAACATATGGTGCTCATCTTCTTGATGCTGCTTCACTTCTTGCACAAGCTCGTGCAGCTGGTGTTGTTGAAGATATCGTATGTTTATCATAGTATTTTTATTTTTTATTCTTAAATAACAATCTTTATCTGTTTATAGTCAGCTCCTGGTTTTGTTGGTTATAGTGCTGCCGCATACGGTCAAGAATCACTCGGTGTCTCATCAGGCTTAGTTGGTGGTGCTGGTCTTATCGCTGGAGGTGCTGGTCTTGCTGCTGGAGGTGTTGGTCTTGCTGCTGGTGGGGCTGGTCTTATTGCTGGAGGTGCTGAATTAGTTGATGGAGGTCTTGCTCTTGGTGGTGGACTCAGTTCAGGATCATGGGAATCATCAGGTATTGCAACAAGTGGTGCTAGTGGTTGGGAAGGTGGTCTCGTTGCTGGTGGTCTTGGTGCTGGTTATGGTGCTGGTTATGGTGCATCATGGGGATCGTCTGGCCTTGCTGGTGGAGCTGATGCTGCTTTCCTTGCTGCTGATACCAATCTTGATGGTACACTTGATCAAGGAGAATTTCGCCAATTCATTGGTAAGTATTTCTTCTGATGAATATTATCATTTTACAAATATTATAATTAAATTGCATTCATCTATTTTTAGGTCACAACCTTTAAATAGCTAGTGATACATCATCATACGAAGCATACATTTCATCGTTTTCTTATTAAAACATCAGAATAGCCAATCAAATATTTAGGACTGAAAAACTATATTAGTTATAACATGTACGAAATATTATTGTGTTTGTTCAAATCTGCTTGATTGTGTTCTCGCTTCATTTTTTCTGATTGCTTATTTATGTTTCAATTGTCATTGGCTATCTTTTTAATGTATTGTTTCGTTTTGATCATATAGTTTTTTTAGTGTGATTTTACTTAATAGAATAAAAACATTTATAAACAAAAAAAAATATGTTTATTAGCTCTATTCAACAAGCAATAAGGAATCGAAAAAGTACAGTTTGTCAGTGCAGCATAACGACGTTGATATATAGAATTGGTGCATTTTCTTTAAGCCAAAGTATAATTCGAAATAGATCTTGTTATGAATTCAAGATTTAGTACTATCGTTGCCCTCAATAATGATGTTGATTGAGCTGTTTTACTAATTCTAGTCATATATGTATGACAAAAAACACACGCTCATGTATGAGTCAAACAAGATAGAAGAGAAGCACATACCGTCAATGTCAATACGATAAAGGACAAGTCATATGAAGAAAAAAAGAGAAGAGAAGTGAAGTGAAGTGTAACAGTGTATAAAAGTTGAGGATATTTATTCAATACTATAAAATAGTATGTAAAATAATTATTTAGACATCCTATCATACAATCATTGCGAAGAACGTTGCATAATGAAGATAGAATATTTTCTTGACTACAATTTTATCTTTCGATAGATTGAGGTATTTACATTAATTTACAAGAAAAAAACTTTGTTTCAAAAATTGTAAGACTTTTTCAATAACATGCATTATCTTCGATGAATATACATAAAATTTCTGAAAAGCTCGATTTACCCAACATCGTATATGTTTGCATAAAATCTGAATTTTTCAGTCTCGACAAAACAAAACCTTGACTAAAAATACATCCTTCAATAGAGACAAACAAACTGAATCGAATCATGTCCTTCATTTTCGAAAATAATTAAACATGAAAGGTATTATTTGTTAATTACAATCATCTACTATATGTCTTACATTGATATTGATTTTTTAGGCAGAGAATTAGATAGAAAATATTTTTAAAAATTACAGACTTGTAGTGCATTTTATTCTCTACAAAATCATATTCATATAAAGACGATTAGTAATTTTTTTTGAAGACATAAAAGGTCTATCTTTTTAAGTCCACGCTCGAATATGGAAAGAAAAGAAGAAAAAAAACCTGTTGTCCGTGCTCATTGTATTAATAAAACGAAAAAAAACAAATATTTCTTTTCTTTCTACACTATAAAATATACTTGAAAAGATAGGCTTTTGACGTCTTCAAGGTAATTATTAATTGTGTGACCACATGCACATTAATTTATACAGAATTTAATTATTCACAAGCCTATAATTTTCAAAACATGTTTGTGACTAAATTTTCCTCTTGAAAAATCAAGGTTAATGTAACATCCATAGGAGACGGTCGGTCTTTATAGCTAATAATAAATATCTTTTGCGGTTAGTTATTTTCATAAATGAAGGTCATGATTTGATTAGATTTGTTTTCGTTTCATCAAGACTAAGAAATAAAGTTTTTTTCTTTTGTATAAATTTATAAGACTTCAGATATTGGAAGTTTTTCGAAGTTCAATTTATATTTTATTGTTTCTAATCGATTCAATTGTATAAAATAATATTTTTTCTATCAAATGAGATATAACTCGAATTATTTTTGGATGCAGGATGTACGATATAGATAGAAATTACTTATTTAAGTATTGGCTTTTTTTTAGCGGAATAAATTTTTTTATAGGTATTGTTGACCGATGTGAAAATGATTTGATTTGCATAGCTACTTGTTTAACTGATGAACAACGTTCAATTATAACAACCTATACTCATGTTATTGTTTGTTTGATTGTCATTGACGAATTTGATAAAATAATATTTCTTAATTACATTTCAATGAAATAAAACGAAATGAAATGTTCATATTTATTTTTAAACTTATCTTCAAGAAAAACGTTTGAAAACAATAAATGATTCAATAATAAATGATTCATAATTATAATCTAATTCATTATAGGTTTTTATCAAAGAATGAAAAGAAAATTCTCTATTAATTATTTTCTTATGCTATCAATGCGTTTTAACCATCAATTTTGTTTATGTCCAAGTACAAAAAAACAACTATGAAAAATCAATTAAAACCATAGGCTTTTAATCGATTGGTCTCATTATTTTTGATTAAGTTGATTGGAAATGATTTTATTGCACAATTTCAAATCGGTTTTTCTTGTCAAAGATAATTAGAGCTATCAAAGAAATGTTAATATATATGATTTTTTTTTTATTAGAATTAATTAAAAATCGTTTTTTTTTTAATGATTTATATAACATTTTATTACCTGAATTTTATCAAATAATCGTACATAAATTCATTGTGATTTACAAAATATGATAGATTAGAATTCAATATATTTATTCTATTCTGGTTTTTGGTATTATGTTTAGATTAACCAATAATTATCATATATTATTTAAACGAAGAGTCACAAAAATAACTTCTTATCATAATCAATAGAGAATTAGCGTTTCCAACAACGTTTCATCCAAGATTTATTATCAAACAGTATACCTTTGGCAACCATTTAAAATATTTTAGAAAATGAATTTCAATTGAATTCAAACGATATTCACCTACGTATATAATTGGCTTTAGTTTTATCAAAACAAATTCATCAATATTGGTTATATAAAACAAATTTAGCACCGTTGATAATCTGTGTAGAATAATCTCTACGTATATCTTAACCAATATTATTAAGACAAATATATATAGAAATATAGATAATTAAATTTTGTTCGGCAGATACAAAAAAAAGTTTAATAGAAGTTGATTATTATCTTCAAGCTCTTATTGGAGCAAATTTAGTACATATTATTGATACATCTCTAAGTTCTATTGTTGAAATAGGATCAGAAAAAGTTAAGATAAAAAAGCAATCATATTTGCTCATATAGTTCTTTTGTCATATTATTAAAATCCGCATTTACTAAATAAAACATAATGTCAACATCTCTGATGATTTTTTCGCTATTGTCTTCTGTAATGAATGATACAAATAGTGTTGTTTTTTCTTTAGAGTATATAAAAGAAGACATTAGGTGATATCATCGTTAGGATATGTGCCAACTATGCTAAGTATTAAAACGAGCTCTCGAACTTAAGTCAACTCTTATGTTTCACTTTAGTTTCTTCAATCAATTAGTTAAGTGATATCACATAAAACACATATTTAGAGCAAATGATCATTCAGTTTAACAGTCAATCAGGAGTTCTAAATTCTAATTTTACATGACTGCACTGAAAATCTTTTCTCTTTCAATCTCTGATCACTTATTAACTAGAAAAACTTGAGTTTTGGTTTCTCAACTTTTATATTATATTAGGTAAAATCATAATCATATCGAAACAATACACAAAAATATAGCTTACAACAATTGAAATAAAAATAAGCATTTAGAAATAAGGAAGCGAAATAACAATAAACTACACTTAAGCAAATACAATAATTCTTCCAAGCTATAACTATTGTAGTTGCTGGATCTTTCATTTTTGATTTACTGTTCTTGTGTATTAATCGGAAATAGATCGAATGTATGTTTCGGATGATGATTTACCAATAAATGTTTAAAGATTTTGAGCTAGAAATAGATAAATACAATTTAATTATAATATTCATAAAATGATAAAGTTCATTAGAACAAACACTTACCAAGGAGATTGCGAAATTCATCGCGATCAAGACTGCCATTATAATCAGAATCAGCATTAAGGAAAGCAGCATCAGCTCCACTAACAACAGCAGATTGCCCCAATAATCCACCATAACCAATACCATAGCCAGCACCAAGACCACCAGCAACGAGATGGCTGTTCCATCCACCAAGTCCACCTAATGCATAGCCTGCTGATTCGTAACCACTACCAAGAGCAAGACCGCCACCAAGAGCAAGACCACCATCAATCAATTCAGCACCTCCAGCGATAACACCAGCACCACCGACTAAACCTGATGAGGCAGCCCATTCTTGACCATAGGCACCAAGACCATAACCAACATAACCAGGTGCTGACTACAAACAGAAAAAGAGAGTTATCTAAGAATAAAAAATAAGAATACTATGATAAACATACAATATCTTCAACAACACCAGCAGAACGAGCTCGAGCAACAAGTGAAGCACCATCAAGAAGGCTAAGGCCGTATGTTTGAACATAAGCAGCTGGGTTAGCTGAAACAACACCAAGACGTTGGAATTGGCGAACAATGCGAGCTGGGGCTTGTTCATATTGAATGATGATATTGCGTGGAGCTGGGTATGGGGGTGGAGGTGGAGCACGGTGAAGAAGGGTACGTCGTTTAGCTTGAGGTCCATATGGAACCCAACGTTCGATGATGACGTCACCTAAAAATGAATAATCAAGATGATAGAATATTTTAGAAGAAAAGAAACTACTAACGTGGTCGTGGTGGAGGAGGTGGAAGACGTTCAATGATGACTGATCGTGGTGGAACTGGTAAACCAGGTAAAC